AGTTCTAGTGATTCTGTTATTTTCTTACAAGCCCTGTGCAATACCTCTTTGAATTTCTCTAGTAATCAAATCATATAATCGTAATGATTGAGAATTGTTTTGTCCAAATGAGGGCTCCAAATCCTTGTAATCTCTTAAACGGCTCTTTAGAAACCCCTTTCGTTGAGTATATTCGCTTACTTGAAAAGTACCTCCATCGTGCTTGTATCAGATTTTCATAACTCAAAAGCATTTATGCAGTATAGCTGCATCTGAAAACTTAGACTTTTTTTTTTATTTTAAAGAGCATGTTTTGATGAGATAAAGGTGATAACACTTTTTTTCTCAAATGAAGAGATTAATAGCATCACATTTGGCAATTTTCATTTTCTGGTATTTTACTAATGTTCAGTGAAAGCTCGAAGTCAGTTTGTGGTATCAGCTTTTACTCTCTGATCCATTAGTGGCAATACGTTATTAAAATGGTAAAGGATTTTTTTCAACTCTTTTTTTTCTATTGATTACAGAATTATTATAATTTTGTTTGCTAAATATCTGCTCCCTAGTTCCCAAACTGCCCTACTGCTGAACTGTCTATAATTTTATCTCAGTTAATGAATAGGTAGAGTGTTTTATTTTAGTAAAGGAACTGACAGAGTCAGATCTATTTTCTAATCCAGTTCTTTTAGTTGGTTGTACAGATATTACAAGTGTTTTTTTTTGCCTCCACTCAATAATCAACTTACATTTTATTTCTTATGCCTTAGGAAAAATATATAAGCAATGAAGAAGAGCACTTAAGGAGGACGGAAGAGGCCAGATTGCAGCTGAAGGATCAACTTCTTTGTTTGGAGACTGAACAAGAATCCATTCTTGTTGTGATAGGAAAGGAAATTGATGCAGCTTGTAAAACCTTCTCCGGGGACTCGATGGAGAAATTAAAAGTAATTATGAGTTCTCATCGTGCCCTCAATTTTCACTTAGATTCCTAATATATAATTATAATTGCATTTTTATGTATGGTTACATGGTAATCAGATTTTTATTCCAGAAAGTTTTATGAAACAAAATAACTTCTTGCATTTCTTTTTTAGAATGAGGCACTGTGTCTGTTGCACAGTTATGATGAGAGAAAGCATGGTGTCATTCCATTGAATTGCCTGTGTCTCACTCTATAAAAGAAAATGTCTTATAAGAGAGGCAGCAGTTCTGACGCAGGAAAATATCCATGGAATCAAGAAGTCTGGAGCTTGGATTTTTCACTATCACAGGCTATTTTTGTTGTTTTTGGTATATTACCGGCTAACATCTATTGAGTATATTACAGGTACC